TACACAATTATCATTATGTTCAACTTGTATTCCCCCCTTAAAAGCATTTAAAACATTTAAAAGATTGATTATAGGGGTATAAACTCACCTTATGTGGGTGATTCAATTGAAGGTTCGCGTAAGGATGAGAAGTTCCATGAATGAATTCCCGAGACACAAACGAGTCCTAAATGACATATAATGGCATATATATAGGCATGTAATTTGTTTTTAAAGCAACTAACATGCAAGGAAACTACCTTAGGGACTAGGAAACACTTGAAATGAAGTACTAAAATCACATGTGATTGATCAAAGGGAGTTCACGGCTAAAGGAAAGTGTTCACGGACCAAATGGATGAATGGTTCACGGCCATGTATGAATTCATGAAGGGTTCACGGCCCTATGAAGGGTTCACGGCCGTGAACACCTCAAACTCATGAAGATGGTGATGAATTTTGAAGAATCAAGGCTAGGATCTAGTAGTCTTTCAAGTATAACAAGATAAATGATGAAACACTTACGATTTAGGATCCCTTGGGAGTTCACGACCACCAAGAACAAGTGTGTGTTCTTGGTGAAAGATGATGATCTTGAAGATCTTAGACAAAAGTGGTAAATTCATGGATGAAATCATAGGGTTGTACTAGATCAAGAAGGATATCAAGGAACAAATGGAAGAATCACTTACAACTTGGACGACAAATGGGAGTAATTCTTGATGATACTTGAGAGAGAATGGAAGTTCTTGAGTTGGGATTGTGAAGAATGATGAAGAAATGAGGGAAATCTGTACTTAATGGGGATATATCACGGCTAGAAGAGAGTTCACGGCCGTGAACTAGGTTTACGGCCGTGAACCTCAAATGTTTGGTTCTCTGGTTCGGGTGCAGCCTTCTGATCTCGAGTTGATACTCCCAAACACTCAACCCTTGAGTGTACTAGGCTTAGAGCTCATTAGAATGACCCTTAACAAGGCTAAAAGGCATTAGAATTAAGTCTGACTTCTGGTTGATTGAATTGACTTTACAAGATCAAAATTTTCAGGTTGTCACATAAAGTGAAAACCTGATACCCAAACTAGTTTAACATATACCGGTTCTAACTGAATCTAGTTCCGATTCGATTCTAGAACATATTTGAAGTTCATCTCTAGTTCAACTATTAACGTGTACATGTATACATAAGGTTTTTTTTTCTCCTTGGTATCTAGTCTTTATGTTTAGGTTTAAGTTTAGGTTTTTGATTTGTATGTATGTTATGTTTAGGTTTTTGGTGTGGATGCGTTCCTATGGTTTATGCATATCTTAAATTGAAAGTCTTGATTATTTTTATTCAATACGTGCTTCTCAAATTTTGGTGTGTATGAGTTATTCTTCTTAATTGTTATATCAAATGGCCTATAGCCTACCGGTATCGAAAATTGATTGATATTTGTCAATCAGCCAAAGATTGAAGGTTTCAATCTCGTTTGTAATGAAAGATGTAGATTTATAAATAGAATAGTAAGTGCATTTGTAAGTCGTTCTCAAAAAAACTGTTAAGACTATCAATTTTGTTTTTCGATTCGTGTAATTTGGCATGATTATTATATTCATTGTTTTGATTTGAATTGTTTTGTAAAATGATGTTGCTATTTGTTATATATGTTAAAATTGATAAATGTTATGTAATTTGTTTATTTAAGTATAAGGATAGTATTGTTAATACATGACTTAATGAAACGAAACTAACTTTGTATACAACATTTTATCTGATATTACTCATCAACCATTTTATTCATACATAACGTAATGGTAAAAAAGCATGCCTAAAAAGATACAATCATCATTTTTTTAGTTTTGATTATGGTATTTATAGAAGGATTTATATTAGTGAAAGATAAATAACCAAGTTATTTGTCCAACATGGGCAACAAATTATTTTTTCAAAATCACGACCTTTTAAATTTATTTTTTTTGTTTAAATTCGACAATTACTAAGGTTGCAATGTATACACCCCATGCCTCACGCAACCACGTAAACACCAAACTTTTTCTTTCAAAGGGGGAGGGGGTGTTCTGTTCATCTTCCCGTCGTGGCTGAGGCTAAGAAAAAAGAAATGCAGATGAAAAAAGAGAGAAGAAAGAAGTGGAAGTTGCATGGTGTGTAATGGACATTAACACGTCTTTCCACGCCACACCCTCATCACCACACCAAGAGGGTGGTGTTTCCGCTTGTTCACACATGCCACATCAACACCGTGCATCTCACGTGACTTGTATATTGTATAACCTAATGACAATTGTATCATTATCCGACCTCTATATTAATGACAATAATCTCAACTTGGATATCATGACTATATTAATAATAAAATGAATATATATCTCTATATTATAAATTTTTAGGCAAAAACACACTTATTGGGTTCAGTTATTTCCTTTCCCCAAAAGTAAGTTGCATAATAAAATAAGCTTTCGACAACTTTTATTTAATTATTGTATTTTTAAATCAAAACTTAAGGATAATATTATAATTTTGTATTTAATTGAAAAAAACATAGACATTAACCATACGATCTACCTCCTCTAATGAACAAAACTCATTTTTGCCACGTGTCCCTCTTCTACATTGCCACTTTGCCACGTGTCATCTTCTACAAAATCCCTATATTTCCGATTTAAATAAAATAATTCAACAATTAATCATAATTATTCGACAATTAGATTAGATAGTAGATTATATAGTAGATATTATCGAAATTCCCGATTTTATATGAAGTTATTATTGAATGGTTCAAGGTTTCAAATTCAAATTCCATGTTTTTTTGGAAACAAAATCAAATGACGTTGTAAATCTTTGGTTACATATCCTAATTATTTTTTGAATCCTTTTAAAGATTTGAAAGAATCCCAAAAAATCAGCATTTTCAGTTCAAATTTTAATAGATAAATATCGAATATTCCAATAATACGTCTTTAACTTTTGTTCCAATTCCAATTGTTGACTTTCATTGTGCTTTCTTCTTCAACATTACGTTTTCTGCAAAAGATACATCATAAGAAATCCAGTTAGTTCATCTTTATATCTTTATAAACCAATAATTCTAACTTTTTTCTGAAAATACTTTAATACCATTCGACTTTCAGTTCTTATTTCTTTGTTCAGATGCATCCTACTTCACTCATCTATTTCTGGTTCGATTTCTCCATATATGTTTTTAACATAAAGGAAGCTGCCCCTTTATGTTAAAGATATATGTTCTGTTTGTATACATCTTGACAAATAAGCTTGAAAAATTAGATAAAGATGTATGTTTTGATTCACTGATTTCATATAGATTTTGATTTGTTTATTTTGTTTTCTTATTTTTTCTGTATTATGCAAGAATTTTAGGGTAGTTATTTGAAGTTTCATATAAATCTGAAAAAAAACAAAGAGTAGTTGTTAATTATATCTCATAGCTATCTGTTTTTGATTTGTTTATTTTATTTTCTTATTCTTTTGTAGTTATTTGAAGCTCCATATAAATCTGGAAAAAAAATCAAAGAAAGAATAGTTGTTAATGATATCACATAGCTATTTGTTTTAAAGATTAAAAAAATCGCATTTCTAGACTAAACATTTCATTACACATTTTCTAGAATGAAAAATAATGTTTATTATATAACCTTAGATAAAGATGTATGTTTTGATTCACTGATTTCATATAGATTTTGATTTGTTTATTTTGTTTTCTTATTTTTTCTGTATTATGTAGAATTTTAGGGTAGTTATTTGAAGCTTCATATAAATCTGGAAAAAAAATCAAAGAGTAGTTGTTAATGATATCCCATAGTTATCTGTTTTTGATTTGTTTATTTTATTTTCTTATTCTTTCTACCGAAACTGCCCCTTTATGTTCAAGATAAATTTTAATTATATTTTGAATACATTTTATTGTAATATTTTTATCGTTTAAAAACTTTCGTTTTACAGAACAAATGGACATGTATTATGATAAAGTTGTACTTATTTACCATCCGGAATCAAATGCTTTTTTACAGTTATTAATTTTTTTGGTGTATATATATATATATTTTTTTAACTTATCTCTCGTGGTTTCCACGGGTTATAACCTAGTTAGTCTATAAAGAGACAACTCAAAAAAAAAAAAAAAAACTATCGTCATAATGGATAAAAATACATTTATTTTCATACAATTTCTTAAGGGTGGAATTGGTATGGTACCAATTCGTTTTTCTCTAAACCGTGAATCGTACCAAGTATAATTAGTATAAAAAAATTTCTACCGCTACCGTACCAAGTATACTTTGTACCAATATATTTGGCTACCAACAAGTTTGGTTGGCACAAATTGGTAATGGTATATACCAAAATTTTTTAATTTTCTATGCTAAGATTTAAAAATAAGCAATGACATCGGGTAATTTTTATGTTTAGTATAAAAATTAGCTACTATTGAAGTATAAAAACATAGTTCTTTTAGTTTATAAAAAGAAATCTATTGAAGTAGCGTTAAAGTAACGTTTTAATTTTTTTATTTAACCCGGTAATAACTATCGACTAATGCAACCAAATGACTTATATAATGTTCTTAAAACTATACATACTAAAAATAGTTAACGGTTAAAATATACGATCTCATATATATATATATATATATATATATATATATATATATATATATATATATATGAATTGGTTGGTATGGTACTACCATGGTATTCAAAGTTTTGTACCATTACCGTGCCAGCAGTGCTCAATTGGTACGGTACTACCAACCAAACATGTTGGCTACCAACTTTTTTGGTTCGGTTGGTAGCATGTTGGTTGGTTTTCTATGGTACAATTTTGAAAGCCCTACAATTTCTTATTTCCTCGATTAAAAAAAAACAAAACCAAATAACACAGGACTGATTTGGGAAAAAAGGATCAAGAAGGGGCATAAACTGAGAAACATGGAAGTTCGGGGTTTATATTAAAAAGAAATAAAGATGACGTTTCATTGATAGAATTAGGGTTTTAGAACAAGTACCTTTATAACATCGCAAACTCGTTATCATCCCTTTAGAGATCAGAGGGTGATCAGAGCCTGCGTTTCTTCGACCTGTCCATAACAGCATCAGCAGGTATGCAAAATCTTATCCACCATCCACCATCAACCTATCACCATTTTTTCTAAGTTTGCCTTCGATTTATCCGATAATTAATACTGATTTTCGCTTGATTAATAATGTAATTTTGATAAAATCTGTTTAGTTAAACTAGCTATCCTGCCTGAATAATCTTCAGAGACTGGAGATTTGTGCACAGATCATTGGAATAGATTGCACTTCAACTATGGTTTACTAGTTAATTGTGCTTAGAATGCGAACCTTTACCACCTTTATCCGTACCTTTATATAGTCATAGTGTCTGCAAAAGTGTTGTGATGTGATTTTAGTGTAGAATGAGTTCTAGGAAGTTCTATGATGTAATTCGATTTAGTTAATTCCGGAATTGGGGTTATGATACATATACTTCTGATCAAATGTCTCTTTCGATTGGATAATCAATCAAAAACAGTTCATAGTTATTCCAATTTCAATTCACGAGAGCAGAATACGAACGTATATAATCAATGAAAAAACAGTTCTTTTTCCATAACACACCTCACTAACTTGTTTTCCCATGACACTGTCTTCCTACACAGTTTGAGCTGAAGATTTGATCAACAGAAAACATGGCAGCGTATATTTATCTCTTTCCTCTTTCCTCTCTTCTGAAACATGTTTTCTTACTTCCAAATCTCGTTTACTGATTCTGTTCTTGATCAAATGCATTAATTTTTGCAGTGAAGATGGTATTGTCCCAGTTGAGACCCCTGCCCCTCCCCCTGCTCCTGCTCTTGGTGAGCCAATGGACACCATGACTGCATTACAACTTGTTCTAAGAAAATCACTTGCTCATGGTGGGCTTGTGAGGGGTCTTCATGAAGCTGCAAAAGTCATTGAAAAACATGCTGCTCAGCTCTGTGTATTGGCTGAAGACTGTAATCAGCCAGACTATCAAAAATTGGTCAAAGCTCTTTGTGCTGACCACAATGTCAGCTTAATAACAGTTCCAAGTGCAAAAACTCTTGGAGAGTGGGCTGGTGTAAGTTTTACACAAAATAGCAACCTACTTTTGTTATTTTTATTGATTTATTCACTTAATTATTTATCATATTATCTGTTTGTGATTTCTAATTGTAGTTGTGTAAGATTGATTCAGAAGGGAAAGCAAGGAAGGTTGTGGGTTGTTCATGCCTTGTTGTGAAGGTATTATTTTTGAAGGCCAAATGATTGGAAAATTGTTGATGAGTTTAGTTTTATGTTCTTTGAAGTTTTAATTCTTATGATCTTTTTTAATTGCAGGATTATGGAGAGGAAAGTGAAGGTCTTCACATTGTTCAGGAATATGTCAAAGCTAACTAGATGTGTAACAATGGATCAAAATACTTGATTTGTCTTGTCGTTTTTGTGTGTGTGTGTGTTTTTTATTGGAACTTTTTTTCTTTTCTTGTAGGAAATTTTGGATTTATGTAGTAAAAGTTATTCTTGAGTTTTCTTGCTTCTGTTGTTTCTTTATGTATGTGCTGTTATTTGTGATTGGAGGCCAACGTTTCTTATTATTGTTTTTCCTTGCAATGTTTTATAAAAAAAAGATAGAGTTGTCATTTTGGATGATGCTTTTTGATATTTATTTATTTATTTTTTGTATTTAGTTTATTATGAAATTGTTTCTAGTGGTTGAGAGATTGAGGGTCCTAGTGTCAAGTACTTGAGTATTGGTTAGTATTAGTTTTGATTAATGGTTTTAGGTGGCTAATGATTTTGGTTAATGGTTGATATCGCTCTACAATAATGGTAAAAAATGACTAATAAAAAATATGTTGCTGTAAAAAGGAAAACGGATAGTTTATTGTTATTTAATGAATATTACAATGGTAATTTTTCATTTTTAAAAAGGGTTAATGACCTAGAAAGGTAACAATCTTTGGTCTTTGTTCACATTTAGCTAACCATGTTTTTTTCGTTCACATCTGACCATTGAACTTGTTTGACCTGTTCAAAATAGGGTAATATGACCGGTAATTAGCGGTAACATTACCCTATTATGAACAGGTCAAACAAGTTTACTGGTCAAATGTGTACGAAAAAAACATGATTACCTAAATTTGGACAAAAACCAAAGTTCATTACCTATTTTGGTAATATTGGGTTCTTTATGTTAAGTGCAAGTAGTCATAAGATCCATTGATGTGAAATGAAATTGGGTTGTCCGGTCTTGTGTATAAGGAGATGGTTAAGTCTTGGGCCAACCCAGTTTAGGCCCAACTAGTTAGGGGTTAAGTTGTATACACTTAAGGGGCTAGGTTGTATGTGTTTTAAAGACCGAGCAACACAGCTTAGCCCATGACTAGCCGGGATTAAACTGGGTTAGATCAAGCCTAACCTAATTGTTCATTGACTGTTAGAGCCTGATCCCAAGGCACACAGTCCCTAAGACGGTTCTTGTCCAATATTATCAAAACGGGTAAGAAACTTTGGTTTTTGTCCATATTTAGGTAACCATGTTTTTTTTGTACACATTTCACCAATAAACTTGTTTGACTTGTTCATAATATGGTAATATTACCGTAATTACCGGTCATATTACCCTATTTTGAACAGGTCAAACAAGTTCAATGGTCAAATGTGAACGGAAAAAAACATGATTACCTTAATGTGGACAAATTCAAAAGTTTGTTACCTTTCTAGGTCATTAACCCTTTTAAAAGCCTAGGAAACTATCTCAATGAGGTGAAACTTTTGAAATTTATGATTTTGTTCAATCATAGTAATCTTAATCACTTGTTGAGGATATATGAAAATACATTGCATCGTCCATGGTAATCTTAATTGCTCCTTGAGGATATGTGAAAATACATTGCATCATACCTGAATATATCTAATGTAAAACTCATGTGAAAAATTAAAGTTCATTCAAAAAGTTCTAATTATTAAATGAGACCATGGTTCTAGCCTATCCAAACACATATACAAAGGTATATGTGTACATATGACCGACTAATCAATGATCCTTTCTGTGGGGAAAATAATTTACTAAATTTGTAAATCTATCTTATATTTTAAGAACTTAATATATCAACTATTTTATACAATATATTATATTTATATCTAAATTTTTTGGTTCGTTTGTGGATGAAAACCATAACCAAATCATATGTATCCCGTTGATGAAATTTTAAAAACAAACCACCTCTTATAGTAATAGTTTAGTTATATGGGATAATGACTTAAAAGGGTAACATATTTTTAGGTTTGTACACATTTAGTCATTGACTTTTTTTTTTGTCTAAATTTTCCCATTGAACTTGTTAAGCTGTTCAAAAAACATCCTTATGACCTACTATTGGAGGTTTAGCCGGTTTCCGGCGTTCTTGTGAGCTCCGGTGAGACTCCGGTCATCTTTTCCGACGAGTTTCCGACCAAAAACACCAAAAAAACACATACATAAACAAAAAACACCGAGATTCATGTTTTTTCCTCAAGAAATTCTTCAACCCCTTCAACCCAAATTGAACATCTTCAAGAACAACTAGATCTGAAAAATGAGTTCATCAAAATGTTTTCATATTTGCATGTGAGTGTGTGTGTTTGTTAGATCTGAACAAAAATTCTCCAACCCTTCAATCGGTGTGTATGTGTGGATTTGTTAGATCAGAAAACACATACACAATCATGTTCATCCCTTCAAACCCTTCGACCCAAAAATCATAAACCCATAAATCCTTCAACCACTTCAACCCAGATCAGAAAAAACGAGTTCATCGATGTGTGTGTTCATCTTCTTCCCATAAATCAAAAGATCTTCAATCGAAGTTATGTTTTTGAGTTATAGTTTGAAATCAAGTTTCCATTTTTGTTCAAGAACACACTGAACTAGAATCTAAAAGTATTCATGTGAAAAGTTTGAAGCTCGAAAATCATGTTTCCATTTTTGTTCAAGAACACACTGAACTCGAATCTGAAATCAAGTTCGTATAAGAAATCGAGAATCATGAGTGTTTGTATGTTCTTGAGCAGATGAAGATGACTTTTGGGTTTGTGTTCGTGTTCTTCATCATATTTGTGTTCTTGTTGTTCATCAGATCTGAAAACCGGAATAAATCTTTTTTGTTTGTGTTCTTGAAGGTCTAATGAGCTTTAAGATGAACTCGAGTTAGGGTTTTCAAACCCAAAAATCATCGGAGTGTTGTTCCAGATCTTTTGTTCATCGTGTTCATCTTCTTTGTTCTTGGAAGTCAAGAAAGTACAAACAATGCAGCACAATGTACAAGTTCGTCGATGCATTATCCTTTGAACCAACTCAAACTCAAGAACATATATCATTATTTCTCTCTTTAAAAATGATATTTAAGTGCAAGGTGTTTGATCTTCAAGCTAAATCACGATATGAAGACACCGAAGTTCATGTTCTTGAGTTCGTGTTCTTCGTTAACTTCGATTTTCCATTTCTGTTCAAGAACACAACTTTGATTTCTGGGTTTTTCTTCATGTTCTTCATTAGATTTTTTGATTTATGTTCTTGAGTTCATGTTTGGTTTAGATTTCTGGTTTGGAGATGAAGTAGTGTGTGTGTTGTTGATCAAAAAATAAAAAATTAAATTATTTTAGATTTATGGTTGGAGACTCACCGGAGAAGACGACCGGAGTGTCGCCGGAGGTGGCAAATATGCCGGAAACCGGTTTAACCTCCGATAGCAAGTCATAAGGATGTTATTTGAACAGTTGAACAAGTTCAATGGGAAAATGTGGACAAAAAAAACATTAGTGACTAAATGTGTACAAACTGAAAAATATGTTACTCTTTTAAGTCATTATCCCTAGTTATATAGGTTAATTCGGTTTAATTCAGTTTTTCTGTATACTCACCCTAGGTAAAACAACCAGGGCTTTAACATGAATCAAAATGGCTTAACTTTGTAGGCATATTTTTTTTTCTAGTGTCATAAATAATTAATTATAAAATTTGATAAAAAAAATATTGTCTATATTCAAAATATTCTTATATAAATAATTTAAGAAACTATAAACATCAAACTATAGAGTAAATTACATTTTTTGTCCCTTAAGTGATATTTTCATTTTTTATGTTCCTTTTAGTGTTCCAAGGAACTGGTTTTTAATTTTGGTTAACTATTTTGATGTTTCATAACAACTTTGGACTTTGGTCCTTGAATCGTTAAATTCAATTATTGAGCTAATAATTTTCTTTAAAAAAGAGATTATGTTGTCCTTGGATCACATAAACCACACTTCAAATGAAGACCAAAATTACAAAATAAATTTTTTTCGGACTGAAATTATAAAAAAAAGCATCTATATCAGGTATTAAAAATGTAATATACTCTATATAATAATTTGAAAATATTTATTTAGTTTTTATTTTTATTAATTATCTAAGTTTGAGAAAAATGGAATATTGACATAAATGGCGAAGAAGTGTGAAAATTTTTCCTCCACCACGCTTTTGTCATCGGTCATGAACGTCCCCTTCCAGCCACGTCCTACAAGGTGATGTATATCTCTATCAATGTTTGGCCGAGCTGAGACTGGGTTGGTCAGGTCAAGAAGGTCATCATATATCTCTATCGAGAAACATAATCTTAAACACTAGATTAACTCATTATCTGTGACTTAGGTTCATATAGTTATAATGCAGATCAAAGTGATTTGAAATCACTAGTCTAAGGGATGCATATTGCAAAGTTGCAATACGCACAATAGTTACAATTGGACTACACACTCCCTTTCTATTGTTAGTAAGTATTTGACCAACTATTGTTAGTGCCTAGTGCAAGTGAGAGTTGTTGGAAGACGGTGCCTATAGTCACAAAAAGTCAGTAATAAAATTATTACCAGTAGTATCCTTTTGGGGTACACACAAGAACAAAACTGGAAAGAGATTAAATTATAGGATTTAATTTGTTAATTAATTAATTGTTTAATTAATTAAATGGATCATGAAAAATCTGGAATATTCTAGATAAAAAATTTGAATATAAGATAATTACCAAAGTTACAAATAATTATTCGGAGACCAAATAACTATTTGTTAGGGTTGGAATCTTTCCCTTATAAATAAAGAGGTATAAACCCGACAAAAGCGTTGGTAAATAGAAACAAGAGTGGGTCTTGGCCCACCCTACACTTAAGTTACATATATTTTATATATATACTATAAATTTCTATTAAATAAAAGGAAATTTTGGGGTCTTGTAGGCCACCCATTTACAATTTTAAAATTTTCTAGTATCAGGGATTATGGAACTATTTTTGCCGGTAACGTTTGAATAGAAATGTTTGTATGACACTTTAATTTCCATATTGAATTCTATATTCATTAGGTACGAATGTTTTTTTTTCTCAACTACAATTCTATATTCATGATGTTGGTATTTGTTTTTAATCCTTGTCTCTCTTACTTCCGACGACCAAATCCGGTAGCCACCATTATTTCACGTCCGACGACCGCAACAACCATCGAAATTGAGCACTAGAACCCATGACGAACAGAAACCAAAATGTTTTTTCTTTCTTTGGTAAACCTAGTAA